ATTAAGTAATAATTATAATTGTCTTATTTTACTGTTAATAAATAACCTGTTAAGCAATAATATAAAGACTTATAATTAATTGCATATTTTTTGAATACTCTATTCTTCTTTATATTTTGTATTTAATAGCATGACATTTTTACAATTTTAATGTTAGAAATTATCGTAAACGATGCTGCCTCTTGAAGTACGTCACTAATAAATTTTTGTAATTATTATTGTAATTATTTTTAAAAAAAGCTTTGGTTAATGGGCCCTAATTGTTCTACGGGCCCTGGAGCAGTGCACCGTCTGAAAAACAAAAATATATTATGAATGAAAAAAAGGGTATGCGGACGCTTTTTGACGTTAGAGTCACTGCATTAAATCTCAATGATAATGTTGACTCTGTTTTTAAAGCAAATGATGTAGATAAAATAAGCGATAATTTAACTGACTGTTTTGAAAGGGAAAAATTAAAACGTTTGAAGATTTTATTATCTTCAAACGATGATTCAAATGGGATTGAGACTGTAAGTCTTTCTGCTTTTAATTGTGATCAGGTCCTTCTTAATATTGGTAATCTTTTTAGTGAAATTCCCTCTCAATCTGATAAAGAAAAGTATGTCGCAAATGATCAGGTCGATTTTCCTAACATATTTAAATTTTAAGAATGTCAACGGTGATGTTCATAAAAAAGACTGGCTGGTTTGCAGTCAACAAAAATAGGCATTGTTTTGCTTTCTATGTCGATCATTTTCTGGTAATATTTCCAAAGGTTACTGAAAGAAATTTAAGTTCGCGATCAGTAATGGCTTCACCTGGTGGATATGCAGCGACTGGTAAATGGCGAAAATTGTGTAACAGGATTACAGAGCATGAAAGGAGTAATGTTCACAGAGAATCTTACCTAGCTTGGCGAGAATTAAAAAGACGTTTTTTATTTGGAAAGGGTATTGAAACTTACTTGGAAAGTTTGATTAAATTGCAATCAACGAAATGGTCCAATATTCTTAAAAGAATATTAGATGTTATCCTATTTTTGGGTAAACGTGGATTGGCTTTTCGGGGATCCTCCCAGCGAATTGGAGATGTAGATAATGGCAACTTTTTGGGTCTTATAGAGTTACTTTCACATTTGGACCTTATATTTATAGAGAATTTATTGTCAGTGAAAGAATCTCAGCGAAAAGGTTTTGCCTTTTCGCTGAGATTCTTCAAGTTCGTTATCTATCAGCTGATACTCAAAATGAATTCATTGCAGAGTGCTCAGATTTAGTGCGACAGCATATTTTACAAGCAAGAAGATCTGCTAAGTATTTCGCAATAATGGTCGATGCAACACCAGATTCGTCACAAAGAGAGCAAACAACATGCATATTACGATATGTAATATTAGAAAATTCACAATATGAAATTGTTGAACGATTTCTAACATATTTAGATTGCAACAATAAAACTGGAGATGAAATATCTCAGATGATAGTGGAAACATTTGGAAACATAACTCCATTCCTCTCTAAGATTGCAGGGCACAAGCATATGACAATGGATCAAATATGGCTGGAAATACAATGGTGTGCAAGCCAAAATACTTCAGTTATGTCCATTAGCACTATTTTCCCTATGTGGATGTCACACACTTAATCCAGTGGGAAATGATGCGGCAGAATGTATTCCTGAAACTGTAACATTTTTTAAACGATTCAAACAGTATTTAATTTGTTCAGCTCAAGTCCAACACGATGGGAAGTATTATCACGTATTACCACGATGGGAAGTATTATAAAACACATTAATTGCTTACTAAAAGGAATGTCACATACAAGGTGGTCAGATCGTGTTGAAAGTGTTAAACCTTTTGCAGCACAATCTCCTGGGATTAAATTGTCATTGGAAGAACTTATAGAATTAAATTTGACTTATAAAACAAGAGCTGAAGTAAAAGGTGCCTTATATTATATTAATTCATTTTCCTGCATAATAATGTCATCGATATGGTACAAAATTCTTGTTCCGATTGATTTTTGCAACAAAGTTATTCAAGCAAGAAATGCAACTTTAGATGTAGAAGTGGACAACATAAACCTTTTACTGAGACAACTTCTTGGGCTTCGGAATATATGGTAAGATATCTGGTCAGAATCAAAGAAAAAATTTTCTAAAAGGTATATTAAAGTTTAGAAACATTAATGCAGAACAACGTACCTGAGACTAGGCATTGCTATCTAACATAGCGTGAATTAGAACGACGTCTTTCAATGCAAGGCGGTATTGATAAATTTATTTAATCACCAATTAAAGTGGAGTCAGAAAATAGTACCAAAATTTTGAGAAGAATTATTGATGTTATCCTTTTCTTATTAAATTGTAGCCATGCTTTTCAGGGAACTTTGCAGCGCATTCAGACTAAAACAATGGAAACTTTTTAGGTCTGAAAAAGTTGCTTCATGCTAGCTGAACCATAAAAAAAGGGCAAAAGACTCCAAGGACATTACCTCTCATATGATTATCAAAATAAGTTTACAGCTAAATGTTCTGATCTTGTTAAGCAGCATGTTTTAGACAAAAGACATTCTGCAAAGTGCAACGCGATAATCGTAGAATATGCAACAGATTCATCACATGTTGAGCAAATAACACTTATTTTACGTTACCTAATTTGCCATGAATAACAAATTTTAAATGACAAATTACTTTTTTTTATTGCTCCAGACGCTAATAATTCACCTTACTTCACTGAAACAAGTCGAAAATAATTGTTCCTAAAATTCGTTTTTATATATGAATCTTATAAAGTAAACATTTTTATTGATATGTCTTAAGCAAACAAATAGCGGCTAATTTTGTTTTTAGTGATAATTTTCTTCTTGAAGAATTAAAAAGTCATGGCTGAAATAAATGATAAAAATGTAGCTGAAAACTTTATACCAAATAACTCAAGCTTTGAGATAAGAGATTAGGATTTAAAGTTGTATATTTTTTCAACAGCTTAAAATGTCATTTCCTCGGTTACTTTTCTTTCAATCGATTTTAGGACTTTTTTTTTAAGGATTTTGTTTGCTATTCCTTTTAAATATAGATCGCGAAAAGAAAAAAAGTTGTAAGATCAATGGGGTTTCATTTGTTTTATAAAGAAACTGGTATGCATTTTTACTTTACCTTTTTACTTTCATCTAACAAAAAAACATTCAATTTTAATAAGTTTTGACCACAAACACACAGATATATATATATATATATATATATATATATATATATATATATATATATATATATATATATATATATATATATATATATATATATGTATATATATATATATATATATATATATATATACAGTACATATATATACAGTACATATATATACATATATATTCATATATATATACATATATATACATATATATACACATATATATACATATATATATATATATATACATATATATACATATATATAGTAAATATATATACATATATATACAGTACAGTAGCTTTCATAAATTTAGACGCATTCATTTTTTTTTTCATATATGTAAGAAAATACTCAAAATAAAAATAGAATAGAAGTGCTACCGCTATGTTTGATACATAATTTAAAAGAGGAAATGAAGGAAATAGAGTACCTTAATTTTTTTTACAGGATGTTTATTACTCATTCTATACCGATTAACACAAAAAAGTTAATTGATAAACTTGATTTTATTTTGTTCATAAATTTAGACGCACAATTAAAAAAGTCTTATATCTTGTTAATTGATAGTTAATTAGTAGTTTTTTTCTTATATTTCTCATTAATAGGCCTAAATTAATTGATTTTGTCAAAAAACCTTATATAAATATGACTTACCTGGAAATAGTTAATCATTATTTAATAAATAAACAAAAGTTAAGTTAGTTTTGCACTAAAAAAACGTAAAAAATGGTCAAAAGACGTATCACTCAAGGTGAAAGATGGCAAATTATTGCGCACATCAAAGAAGGAACCAAAAGTAATAGAGAAATCGCCAAGTTAATTTGGAGTTTCTGAGAAATGCGTTCGGACAACGAAACAAAACTTTCTTCACACTGGTGGTGCCAGCGAGAAAACGAGGCCAGGTAGACCCTTGTCAACCACGAGAAAGGACGATAGTGTTCTTTTTAGAGCTGTCAGAGCTAATCCAAGAATTAGTTACAAAAAATTGACCACAGAATTCAATACAACGCGAAATACATCTATTTCTCAAAGCACAGTCCGCCGAATACTTGTCAATTACAAGATTGGAGTCTACACTGCTTTAAAGAAACGGTTAGTGCTATTTAATGTCGTTCATTCTAACATTTCCGATTTTGAAGAAATCGCAGACCTAGAACTGTTTTTTGGAATGTTATACGCATGCGTTACTTTCATGTTATTTCAAACAACATTAAAGTTTTGAAACCTCGTGGCGCAGGTAATAAATATAAAGTATTTCTAATTATTAACTATTCTTTATTGTTTATTATTATATTGTATGTAATTTTTATTAAATTTAAAGTTATTAAATAAGTAATATTTTGTATTTATTCTCTTGTAGTTCAACTTATTTTCAATACATTTTCCTAATTCGGGTATTTATTCTTGACTGTGAAATGAATGAAGATAGTTTTTCACTTGAATTAGAACTTCCACAAGGTAAGATCTCTTAAGTAAGGTTGAGGAATCTTGTAATGAGAGTGCTGATTAAAAAATGTGTATTTAACTTTTTTAAGAAACAATGATGGCAGTTGACTCTACTCTTTCTGTTGAAAAGCATTTTTTTGCCACATATGCCGATGTTTGTGCAAAAATTAAAGAGCATGAAATGTTGCACACATTGCATTATGTTGTAACTTGCTCAGGAACTATGGAAAATAACTTTAAAGGTAGGCAAATTAATTTAAAGAGCTAAACTGTGCTAAAACATAAATTACAAATGTTAAACTTCTTCCATTTATATTTGCTTGACAAATTGTAATGAGTTATATTTTTATTATTATGTAGAATTATTAAAAAAAAAAACATAAAGTGTTTTACGAGGACAAGGAATTTCCATACACTGGAGTACCATTTATTGTATCAGCTCTAACAATACTTGACTGTCAACATGGAAAAGACAGAAATATTAAAGCAAAAGCTCAATACAGACAAATGAGAAATAAAAAAGCTGTATGTACAAAAAAAAATTTCAATTTAGTTCAAAGTATAAATAAGTTTTAAAAGAATAATTTAAAGAAATCTTGTTTTGGATTTATTAATATTGTTTTATATTGCAATTTTTAACATCTGTTTTGTCAGTTAGTTAATAAACAATGTGAATTTTATTTAATTTTTTTTTTCTTAATGCATAGAGTACCGATCATTACTGTCAAAAAAGTAGAGTTATTCTTCAGGATACTAAAAAGTTTGATTGTCCTGCCATTGTGTATATAAAAGAAATTGTAGAGTTTCCAGAGTTTAAGGTATTGGTATTTATTAGTGTGACACACTATAATCCTTATGTTCATAAACACATACTCTGATCTTAAACAGTTTAATAACCATTTTCTAGTATGAAAACCTTATAGCAACTTATTTCTAATTTTATAGCTTTTAAGAAATTCTTTACGGTTAAGAAATGAAACATCTAAAAAACTCCGTGTATCCTTAGCTAAGTCAGAAAATGTACATAAGTCCAGAAAGTATATTTTATTATTGCCTGATATTTCTGTTCATAGGAACCATCCAGTTGGTGAGGTCAGTAATGTAATTTTGTTAATATATCTAATAATTTTATTTAAGTTGTTTTTGCTTTTTTGATTTTGTTTTTAATTTTTTTTTATTACTACAATATCTGTTTTTGTTGTTGTAGACTGCAGGAATCAATCAATCTATTTCTGATGATCTCATAGTAAAAATTGGTGACCTGGTAAAAAAGGGTTTCAATACTATTTCTGAAATGAGGCGACATCTAGAGTTTTTTGTTCATGGAGAAATTACTTCTGACAAACCACAAAAGACAAACAAACGTTTCTTTCCAATGGATAAGACATTTCGAAATCATATGCTCAATGCAAGAAGAAAACTTCGTAGATCTATGATAGATCAAGAATGTTTGCTTGAAAAAATTAGTGAATGGAAAATAGTCTTTCATGAGGCAATGATAAAAGTTAGACCAAAAGGTGTCAACATCATTGATAATATTGATTCAAAGCTTAAGGATTCATTATTGTTCGTATATCAAGACATGTGGCAGAAAAGATTACTCTTACGGTATGGACCTGAACTAGTTTTTCTTGATGCAACATATCGCACAACTAGATACGCTCTTCCACTATTCTTTCTGGTTGTTAAAACTAATATTGATTACCAGGTTGTTGCCATTTTTGTGTGTGAGAATGAGACCACAGACGCCATCACAGAAGCATTAATGTGCATTAAGGAATGGAACCCTAAATTTCAACCAAAATATTTCTTAACTGATTATTCAAATGAAGAAATAAACTCATTAGAATCAGTGTTTCCAGGTTAACGTTGTTATTCATTTATTGTGTTTTATTTAATATTTTATTGTTATATGATCATTTAAACCAAATCCAACTTGCTGTTTTTAGGGTGTTCTGTTTTAATTTGTGACTTTCATCGAGAGCAATCTTGGGAAAGATGGCTTTCTAAAACTGCTAATGGTTGTTATAAGGTAAAAGATGCAATTAAGTTAAAACTACATCAAATTGCTCATGCTAAAACAGAAGAAGTTTGCCAAAATGCTGTTAATTCATTAAAAGAATCAGAAGAGTGGAAAAATAACCCAAAACTAGCTGATTACTTAAATAGCACTTGGTTATGTAATCAAAAGGTTGATTTAATTTCATTTAAATTTAACTAAATTTTCATTTTCGTTCATCATTGAGGGGGTTCTTATTAAGATAATTTTGCATACTATTTACTCCGGGTTGCCAAATTGGCCTCTTCATAACCAAATCCATAAATCTGACCGGTGCAAAAAATAATCTGCTGATTGCCAACATGACTTTGTTTGGCTTTTTTGTTCCAATATTTTAAATTTTTAATTGGCTTAGGATTTTTATTTTATTAAGCGTAAACTAATGTAATTTTCAAATTTTTATATTATTATTGCCATTAATGCCTATTTCATTTATAAAAATGATAATATAAAAAATTTTAAATTTTAAAGAATATATACTAATTTAAACGAAAACAATTTTATAGATTTAATTATCAACACTTATTCTCTCTGAAAACACAAGTTTTCCCTTTCTTTTGTAACAATTCTTCTTTTTTAGAGATGGGTGTTTGCCTACAGGCGACAACGCTTATTGCGGAGTATCAATACTAATAATGGCACTGAAAGACAAAACCAATCTTTTAAATATAGTTTTTTGGAAAAACGGAAAACATCATCTCTCACAGCTATGCTTTGTATTTGTATTGAGGAATTCCTTCCTCACAATTACGACAAGTTAGTTATTTTCAAGTTAAAACCACCTACTTTGCATCCCTGATCTATAAACACACACACATGAATATATATATTTATATATATATATATATATATATATATATATATATATATATATATATATATATACATATATATATATATATATATATATATATATATATATAGAGAGAGAGAGAGAGAGAGAGAGAGAGAGAGAGAGAGAGAGAGATCAGGGATATCAGGGATGCGGAGTACCAGAGCTTCTTTCTAGTTCTTGATATCCCGTAGGTCTGAAAAGAAATAAAGTTTATGTATTTATAGTAGAAAATAAAATTAATACTTTTAGGTAAGAGGAGCAATCATTTTTTGAACCCTGAGTCCTTAGGTAGAATGACAGCAAAGACTCTAAGATAACCTTAAAATGGTTATTTTCTACGATTTTACTTGTGCAAATAATATTATACAATAAATTGTAAATATATAGAGAGCGAGAAAGAAAGTCAGAGTTTACATACATATAATATATGATTTTATATATTTAAGTATAAAGTATAAAGCTGTTTTGGTAAACAGCAAATAATTTTTAGTTGTTGAATGTAAATTAGTTGAACATAAATTAAACAATCCCTTTTGTTATTTAGCTATGCAGATAAAAATAGAAGAACCCATTCATCCTATAGAAAATATAAAGAAAACATTCCAACCTATTTGACAAATCGTCCAAAACCTTTAGTAAAACATTGCATGAATATGATAGATAAAGTAAATGGTGTGGACTCAATCAGAATTAGTGCAGTAACAAACAGATTGTACAATGTAGCCTCATTTCAGTCTAATAGCAGAGAAACTTACCAATGCTATCTTGGTGATGCTGATCATTTGCCAAGTTGTACTTGCTCTTCTTGGCTATTTAGTGCTTATCCATGCAAACATTTTTTTTCCATTTTTCTCAAGTTCAATCTTTCCTGGTCTGATTTTGATCCAACTTATGGAAGTTCACCATATTTTATCATTGATCCCTTATCAGATGAAAATAATCATTCAACAACGTTTCATTTTACACGTTTGCCTACTGAAGATATATCTGAAAATGTTAATGAGAAGCCTCTTGATGATGCCAAACCTTGGGAAGTGTCTAAATATAATCTTCAGGCAGTCAAAAGTGTTCATTCCATAAATAGTAAAGTCTTGTACTTTGATCAAAGTAAAGAACATGGTCAATCACAAGTAAGTCACACTCCTGCTGCATGTCGCGAACTTTTAAATGCAATAATAAACCAGCAAAAAACAATTTGTTTCAAGAACTTCATAAACTTAAAACAAGTTTTGGAGAAACTCTTAAAAGAGAGCAAGGTGTTATTTTGTGTCCGGACCTAAAACCTGAAACTTGGATTAAATCTAATTTACCAAGTCTTGTTAATCTTCCCGTAAGACGCAAAAGGAAGTTGACCAAAAGAGTTGGTATAAAACACGACATCACTAAGGCAGCTTTAAATATCAATGTGACACCAAATGTAAATAATGAATGTTGTAGTTCAGAAATTTTTACTGATGTTATTGATGATAATTGTGAAACATTTACAGTTTCCATGGAATCAATTGAAGTGACAGGAGAAGCATTTGATAATTGCCAAGAATTCCACAAAGTCAACATAGTTAATGATAATAACAAACTTCAAAGCACTGCGCACTGCATTCAGAATCTTAAATGCTCCTTGATCCAAAATGTTGAAAAAAATGACATAGTTAAAGGAGAAATGCTAAACGATAATGTAATACACTTTTGTCAACGAATGATGTCAATTCAATTTAACATTGATGTTGGTCTTCAAGATCCCATTAAAGGAAAGGTTATGTCTTTTGATCCTTGTCCAAGCAAACCTTTTGTACAAATTCTTCATGATGGAAATATACATTGGGTTTGCATTACAACTTATGATTGCAAGCCTGGAGAAATCTATATTTTCGACAGTCTTTTTCATGGTTTAATAAGTATTGAGACTAAAAGACAAATATGCTCCATCTTACACTGTTCACAAAAAAAAATTGTTATTGAAGTTTTACCTGTGCAACAGCAAACAAATGGGGTAGATTGTGGGCTTTATGCTATTGCTTGGGCACGCCAGGTACTAGAAACAAATGGTATTCCACCAAGTACTCATATGTTTGAGCAAAATGAAATGAGGAATCATCTTTTAAACTGTATACTAAATAACCAGTTAGATGTTTTTCCAAAAGCAATTACCCCAACTATGTTTAGAAGATGCACAGCAAAGAGTTTTCATATTCCTCTACATTGTTCCTGTCGCATGTTTTGGACCCAAAAAGATGAGCATATTTTTAATAGGTATGTTATCATATACAATATTATGTTTGTGCATAAGATGATATTACACATACTGAAGGGGTATGTAGAAATTTTTAGTTTTTACAAAGGCTATTTATCATAGTGAAGATGAATGTCGATATTAAATTACCACTTAACTTTGGTATGCGTATATATTATTTATAACACCAAATTCATTTTAAATTTTAAATTTTTTGTTCAGACAAATGGCACAATGTTTTACATGTAACAAATGGTTTCATCGTGAATGCGAAAGTATTCCACTGTGTGCATATGAGAAAGAAGATGTTATCTGGAACTGTCATGACTGCCAGATGCAAATAACAGAAAGCTGAAGTTTTTCTGTTTCCAGTTAAGGGTTTGCAAAAAAAAAAAATTTTCTTGTATAGTCAGTTATGAATGGATAAAAAATTTTCAAAAATGAAAAGACAACTAAAATCGGTCCTTCAACCGTTACACTAAAAGTTGGGTTTTGAAATATTGGAAAGGTAACCTGTGATATTTAACTGTGAAAAGGTAACAACTTTTAAAAATATGATCAATTCGTTTGTGTGATGGTAAGTTTATTTGCAATCTTGCGTGTAATATTAATATTGTAAATGATTATTTGGTTAATGTAAATGATATTTGTTTTTATTTTTAAATGTTTATTTTTCATTACAACTCAATGAAGAAAATTATGCTAGTAATGTTGCTACTGGGTATCTTTTTGCATATAGTTTATTAACGGTAACAAAAATGAAATGATACTGGGATTGCAATACTTTGGTAACGATAACAACAATCAAATGATACTGGAAATGCATTTAGTTGGTAAATATAACAACGATTTAATGTTACTGGAAATGCATATAGCTTGGTAATGATACCAGCAATCCAGTTGTTGTTATTGGAAATGCATATAGCTTGGTAATGATACCAGCAATCCAGTTGTTGTTATTGGAAATGCATATAGCTTGGTAATGATACCAGCAATCCAGTTGTTGTTATTGGAAATGCATATAGCTTGGTAATGATACCAGCAATCCAGTTGTTGTTATTGGAAATGCATATAGCTTGGTGAAGTTATGTAATACCGGATAGATGGTTATCAAATCTATACTGGCAATTGTCGTCACTAATACATTGTAAGTATTAATCATTATAACATTAACCTTTTATATTGTTCAAATTACTTTAAATATTTCAAAAATTTTTACATAATCAATTGCAACAAATGGTGATTATGCCACATATATTTTTTATATCACTGGTAATTGTAGCAGTTTTATTTTTAGGAATTTCTCTATGATAACGCTTAATGTCTCAAGTTTTACGCCTAAATCTCTTAACATAACGAAAACGCAATGTAAACAAACAACATTTTCATGTTTAATGAATAAAGTGTAACAAACACGAATGAAGTTATAACGCACATCTAAAGATACTGAAATATTTATAAAACAAACATTTTTTAAATACATTTTAAACATTGTCTTTGTATTTTTTATATATTTTTTAAAAAATCTATATCAATATATGCTTACTAAAAAACTATCCCTAATTTCATATTTTTTAAAATCAATATACCTAGTTAAATCTAGAGGCGTTACAATGTAAATTTATGTTGCAATTAAAATTTTATCATTAAATCTGTTTTTGTTTATCCATTTAAGATTAAGAAATTGTTTTTATTGTCCGTTTTCAGCAAAGGCCCGAAACTTTTTTCAATTTTACCGAAAAATCTTAAATTTTAGAATATTTGCTTTTGAAGTTACATTCCCAATAACTAATATTTTTTACATTCCCAATGAAGTTACATTCCCAATAACTAATATTTTTTTAGAGAAAATTTGTTTTTAAATATTGATATTTTAAATTCGTGGCACTTGTTTATGATTTCCTTTAATTACAACGAGTAGGGCATACCTACAAACACTAACCCTTTCGAAATTTTATAGAGCCCGTTTTTTTTATCGTTATCGTCATCATGAGCTCTTTATTTTTTTTTTTCGCTTGTTATTGTTTAAATCAGCAGTTAATAAATTATACCAAGCGGTAAATTTGAAGAGAACTTAATGTACCCAAAATTTTGTTGATATTTCTATTTAGCAAAATTAACAAACTACTTTTATATGTTTTTTTTATTAAAAACTAATTAAACCTAGATTAGACTTATAGCTGGGTTAAGGCCGTTTTCGTCGTTTTTTTTTCGTCGTTATTTTTTCGTCGTTAAGCATGCGCAGATTAAACTTTTTTGGCGATAATACTGATTTTTTTTTGCGACAGCGTTTCGCTGCAGCGAAAAAAAAAGTCGGATTCATTTCGACTTTTTGCGAATCGCCATAAGTGAAAACCAATGAAGTTTTGAATATTTATCACGTGATGTCAACAACACAAAAAAAGCGAAAACATGTTTTTAAAGTAACAAAATTCTTAACCTGGCGTTCTTATTAATTTTATATAAACTTTCTCTGAAAATTGGTAAGCATGACTAAATTTATCAAAAAAGGGGCAAGACTTACATAAAAAAATGACCAGATTTATATATAAAACTAAATCGAGAATTTACTTATATAAATTTTCACACTGTTAATTACGAAAGTTACACTTCATAAGAATGTTTATCTTTAAGTGGCCACACAAAGATAAACCTTTTTGTGAAAAATTCTACATAGAGTTAAACCTGTTGTTCGTTCTTGCAGTAACAGTTTTTAATACAAATGTTCATATCAGAGTTTAGCATTTATTTTCTTATACTTTCTTGTAAAAAAAATCTTATATTAAATGATTATATTACAAAATAATATCACATCTTACATAAAAAGGCAGAAATGTTAATATTAATGCACGGAATGAAATTTTCACATGCTTCAAAATAGAAAGTATGCTAACAAAGTAATAACTGCCTTTACTTACACCTACAGCGTAAACTTATTGCTGTCATTATTATTGTTGACAACGAAAAAAAAGTAGCGCGAAAGAAAGTAAGTGGAAATTAAAACAGCGTTTTCGTCATAGCGAAAAAATTCGCTTCGCGCGAATATTTCGTCTTGTGGAAAACGGCCTTTACTGTCGGTTGATTTTTTTCTCATTTAACATTAGTAATAATTTCAGTTCGTAAAACGTAGTTGAAAAATTCCTTGTCAAATTCAAAAAAATTGTGACATCTTAAGGTGGACATCCCTATTAATTCGGAAATTTAAAAAAAAAAATCAAGTTTTTGTAAATGCAAAGCATTTTAGTGAAGCTGCACCGAGCAGTGAACGCCTTAGGGATGAATTATAAGTTAAAAAGAGTTTAGCAGAGTGAGATAAAAGTACAAAAGGACAGATGTCCAGTAGAAAATAAAGAGCTTCAAAGTTGAAAAATTTTTAAAAACTGATATAAGTAAAATGTAGTTAAAAATAAATAAGAATAATAAACAATAGTCAAGAAAAGTCATTAGTTGTTGTGCTTCTAAATTGTTGTTAGTCCAGCGTAAATGTGATGTATAGATAGAATTGGTAATGGAGTAAAATTATTCGTTTTATAAGTTGTCACCCTTTGGTTTGTATTATTAGGATGATAAACATACATTATAGATATAAGTGTCATGAACGTCTCAAGTACAGTATGGATTCGTGCCTTATGGTGCAGTATAAACACATGAAGACCTCCAGCTTTCATCCGAGACTGGTATCCCAAAAGAAGTTCCACTCTAGGTCTACACGAGGGTGTCTTTTTAAGAGGGTGTGTTATCCCAAAAGGACTATTCTCAGAGTATCCAGTCAGGACGATAACCACAGACTCCCGATTTGACACTGGGACCAGAGGACACTTAGCGGGGTTCAGTACAACTTGCAAACAGTAGAAAGTAGTTTTTTGACTTGAGTGTCCATGTTTTTTGACTTAAATGTCCAATGTTTTGTCAAAGTGTGGCATGGGTCAATGAGAGTTGTGAACTGCTTTGAGTTCATTTAGGTATGTGTAATGTAAATAGATAATGTGGTTTACGTGTGTAACTATTGTAGCAGCATGCCTCAATAGTAAGAGTTATCAGTACAAAAAATAGTTTAAGGTCCTTTAAGTAGATGTAACGTAAGCTAGGCGTGATTTTTAGTAGTCCTATGACGTGTTTCTAGAGAATAAACAAACTATTATAACTAGATGATCTAAAATATTAAAATATAATTACATTAATATAACAACAAAAACTAACATGTTAATTTATTAACTAATAATCTTTATAAAAATTACCACTAATACATAACAATCATATGGAGTTTTGTAGTTTCACCGGTTAATATGAGTTTTTGAAAAAGTGTTTGGTATTTTATATAAGTAAAAAGAATCACAATGCATAAGTCACGTGACTGTGATGTTACGAGAAGTATTTAAAATGGAGTGGAATTATTGGTTCAAAGAACTTCCTAAACCGAGTCAAAAAGGTCTTTTATGCTCTATGCATTTTTAATGTATGGTTTTCCTGTTCTTCGCTTGTTTTGAGTATTACGTGAAAATTACGTAATCTAAATATATATACGTAATTTTCATCTATCTACGTGAAAGTAGATTGTTATACAAAACAATCAACTTTCACAAAAATACAAAAAAAAGATTTTTGTAAGTCAATCAATAAGCATTCCATAGGCCAATATTAGAGGGCTACTATGCAAATTCGTGTATTAGCATATAAAAGTTTTAATTTTAATTTAAAAAGAATAAATGTTAATTTACATAGGATATAAGACTTTTTCTTCCAGTCAAAAGAGATACCAAATCGGACTTGTACTTTGAAGGCAAGCAAGACAATAAATTAGATTAATTTTAATAACTTATGACATTTAAATTTGATTAATTTAATTAACAAATGCAAAAAATGTTTTATTAGCGTTGAGATCCGCTTTTGTTAATGTTAATTTAGTAAATGTCAATTCAGTGTATTAGAGAGCCGTTGTCACTTTTTTGAAAAAACAAAATTGACGTTTTTAAACAACAAGAAAAACTAAACATTTATTTACAATATATTTAAAGTTTAAATAAGTTAAAATTTTTATGATTATGCCACCCACCCCGACATCTGCCGCCTCCTCTCATTCTTCCTTTCCAATTAAAGGAGGAGTTGTCAACTCCGTTATTGTTGACCCACTTCCTGTAGGAGCTGTAGGAAGTGGGCCCACGATGCCGTCGACGGTAATTACGATAGCCATCGTAGGACAAATCTAACATTGGAATAAACAAAATATGTAAGGAATATGTAATTTATGATTTTTAAAGTATCACACTCAAAATAATACCAATACCGTTTGTGGCTTGTGAAGAAAACGTATCTGAAAAGTAAATGCAAATATTTCAGTTTAATAATAGGATAGTTTATATAGTTTAAATATCTATCTAGTATAAAGTAGAACTTAAAAAACCTTTATCTTCTTCTAATTGCTTCACACGTAGTACTAAAGAGGTAAATGAAATGAAAAATGATTTAATTTTTTAAAATTGAAGTAAACATGTTATATAAAAGATCACTTTAAGTTTCTACAACAAATAAACGATAGCATTAAAAACGTACAGGTATCTTTTTGCAGTTCCACTAAAACAACAAAAAGAAAACATTCATTATAACATAAGCAAAACTTTTGTTTTACAAAAAAAAAAAAAAAACTATTTTTTTTATATTTTTATAAATATTTCTCTATTTTTAATGTAAATTCACTGACATGATATCAAATGATTTAACCAGTGCCCAAAACACATACCAAAATATGTATGAATAAAGTTGCCTATTGCATAAGACAAAGTAATTTGATTGACATATCAAAGACACTTAATTCAAGTGGAAATTGTTAATGATTGTTAATAGTACTTTTTAAACAATGAGATAAATTATATAGCAATCAAAACGATATGGTCAATAGCCTTGGATACATGCATGTTTACTAAAATAAAAAAACAAATGATAAGACTCAAAAAACAAAAAAATCATTGATAAAACTCACTTAACTGAAGCAGCATTTTTTCTACAGCTAAAAATGGAATAAAATAGAAAATTACAAAATGATGAAACATCATAAAGTATTATCTTAAAAAATACTGCAAATAAGAAATTTTATACTTTTCTTTGATCCACTAGATCTTGATCGAGTCGGCTCCGATTCTTCTATAACAAAATTAGAACCAGATTACTTTTAACAATTGATGTACTTGAAATGAATGATTTGATAAGTAACAAAAGAGAGTAATTATTTATTTGTTTTTTTTTTACCTGACGACGAAACCTCTTCCCTTTTCTTCAATTCTAAAAGGTTATAACAATAGTTATAAAAACATTATTTTAATTACAAAATGTAATAACAAAAAGATGATACATCATAAAGTAATATCTTAAAAAATACTGTGAATAGGAATTTTTATACTTTTCTTTGATCCACCTGATCTTGAGCGAGTTGCCTCTGACTCTTCTATAACAAATTTAGAACAAGATTACTTTTAACAATCGATGTACATGCAATGAATGATTTGATAAGTAAGAAAAGAGAGTAATTATTTATTTGTTTTTTTTTTACCTGACGACGAAACCTCTTCCCTTTTCTTCAATTCTAAAAGGTTATAACAATAGTTATAAAAACATTATTTTAATTACAAAATGTAATTACAAAAAGATGATACATCATAAAATAATATCTTAAAAAATACTGTGAATAGGAATTTTTATACTTTTCTTTGATCCACATGATCTTAAGCGAGTCGGCTCCGACTCTTCTATAACAAAATTAGAACTAGATTACTTTTAACAATCGATGTACATGCAATGAATAATTTGATAAGTAACAAAAGAGAGTAATTATTTGTTTTGTTTTTTACCTGACGACGAAACCTCTTCCCTTTTCTTCAATTCTAAAAGGTTATAACAATAGTTATAAAAACGTTATTTTAATTACAAAATGTAATTACAAAAAGATGATACATCATAAAGTAATATCTTAAAAAATACTGTGAATAGGAATTTTTATACTTTTCTTTGATCCACATGATCTTAAGCGAGTCGGCTCCGACTCTTCTATAACAAAATTAGAACTAGATTACTTTTAACAATCGATGTACATGCAATGAATGATTTGATAAGTAACAAAAGAGAGTAATTATTTATTTGTTTTTTTTTTACCTGACGACGAAACCTCTTCCCTTTTCTTCAATTCTAAAAGGTTATAACAATAGTTATAAAAACATTATTTTAATTACAAAATGTAATAACAAAAAGATGATACATCATAAAGTAATATCTTTAAAAATACTGTGAATAGGAGTTTTTATACTTTTCTTTGATCCACTTGATCTTGAGCGAGTTGGCTCTGACTCTTCTATAACAAAATTAGAACTAGATTAACAATTGATGTACTTGAAATGAATGATTTGATAAGTAACAAAAGAGAGTAATTATTTATTTGTTTTTTTTTTTACCTGACGACGAAACCTCTTCCCTTTTCTTCAATTCTAAAAGGTAAAAACAATAGTTATAAAAACATTATTTAAATTACAAAATGTAATTACAAAAAGATGATACATCATAAAATAATATCTTAAAAAATACTGTGAATAGGAATTTTTATACTTTTCTTTGATCCACATGATCTTAAGCGAGTCGGCTCCGACTCTTCTATAACAAAATTAGAACTAGATTACTTTTAACAATCGATGTACATGCAATGAATAATTTGATAAGTAACAAAAGAGAGTAATTATTTATTTGTTTTTTTTTTACCTGACGACGAAACCTCTTCCCTTTTCTTCAATTCTAAAAGGTTATAACAATAGTTATAAAAACATTATTTTAATTACAAAATGTAATAACAAAAAGATGATACATCATAAAGTAATATCTTTAAAAATACTGTGAATAGGAGTTTTTATACTTTTCTTTGATCCACTTGATCTTGAGCGAGTTGGCTCTGACTCTTCTATAACAAAATTAGAACTAGATTAACAATTGATGTACTTGAAATGAATGATTTGATAAGTAACAAAAGAGAGTAATTATTTATTTGTTTTTTTTTTTACCTGACGACGAAACCTCTTCCCTTTTCTTCAATTCTAAAAGGTAAAAACAATAGTTATAAAAACATTATTTTAATTACAAAATGTAATTACAAAAAGATGATACATCATAAAGTAATATCTTAAAAAATACTGTGAATAGGAATTTTTATACTTTTCTTTGATCCACCTGATCTTGAGCGAGTTGGCTCTGACTCTTCTATAACAAATTTAGAACTAGATTACTTTTAACAATCGATGTACATGAAATGAATGATTTGATAAGTAAGAAAAGAGAGTAATTATTTATTTGTTTTTTTTTTACCTGACGACGAAACCTCTTCCCTTTTCTTCAATTCTAAAAGGTTATAACAATAGTTATAAAAACATTATTTTAATTACAAAATGTTATTTCAAAAAGATGATACATCATAAAGTAATATCTTAAAAAATACTGTGAATAGGAATTTTTATACTTTTCTTTGATCCACATGATCTTAAGCGAGTCGGCTCCGACTCTTCTATAACAAAATTAGAACTAGATTACTTTTAACAATCGATGTACATGCAATGAATGATTTGATAAGTAACAAAAGAGAGTAATTATTTGTTTTTTTTTTTACCTGACGACGAAACCTCTTCCCTTTTCTTCAATTCTAAAAGGTTATAACAATAGTTATAAAAACATTATTTTAATTACAAAATGTAATTACAAAAAGATGATACATCATAAAGTAATATCTTAAAAAATACTGTGAATAGGAATTTTTATACTTTTCTTTGATCCACCTGATCTTGAGCGAGTTGGCTCTGACTCTTCTATAACAAAATTAGAACTAGATTACTTTTAACAATTGATGTACTTGAAATGAATGATTTGATAAGTAACAAAAGAGAGTAATTATTTGTTTTTTTTTTTTTTACCTGACGACGAAACCTCTTCCCTTTTCTTCAATTCTAAAAGGTTATAACAATAGTTATAAAAAAATTATTTTAATTACAAAATGTAATTACAAAAAGATGATACATCATAAAGTAATATCTTAAAAAATACTGTGAATAGGAATTTTTATACTTTTCTTTGATCCACCTGATCTTAAGCGAGTTGGCTCTGACTCTTCTATAACAAAATTAGAACTAGATTACTTTTAACAATTGATGTACTTGAAATGAATGATTTGATAAGTAACAAAAGAGAGTAATTATTGAAATGTTACCTGACGACATCTCAGCTTAATTATTGGATTCTAAAGAATTATTCCATATATTAATATATAGTGAGTAATATTTACATTAAACGTTTCATACAATAGTCTATATAATTCTAAATAAATAATACAAGAAAATAAAATTAATTATATAAAACATTAAATGATTTATTGTTGAATTATTTAGTTCGGTGTTAATGATATCATTATAGTTAGTCAGAAATAAGATCTATAAGTTAGGCAATAATTTGCTGTTGTTCTTGGTGCTTTTACCACCAGTTTCTGAACATATCTAAAGCATTTTATGCAACCTGTAACAACCTTATGATTGCCCATATTAATGATACTTTTGGTGTCACAGATATTGCAATATGATACTATCTTTTGGATGATGAAAATGTATAATGATAGTGAAATCAATAAACGCATTTTGTATTATTGATCAATAATTGCATTAGTAGTGTAAGGCACCACATGAGGCCCTGCGGTAACATACAAGGAACGCAAACCAAACCCAGAGCGTAACCCTAACTTTCAGGGTTGAGATTTGGTAAGGGTATGGGTAAGGGTTTTCAACAATACTTGTTTTATATAAGCATTTTTTACGGACATACTAAAGGGTGTGCCTGAAATACCCGCCTGCTTTTTTTAAAAATTTACTTTTGACTAATTAACAAACAAATAAAAATGAAACAACAAATAAATAAAAAAATTTTTTTTTTGATGCAATCAATTTGCACAATACTGTAGCTTATCATTATTTTTATATACTAACATTTATACTACTAATAAATCTTTGGAAGACTGATGCAGTTTTATTGATTTATATATAAATTTATAGAACTGTTCAATATTAGATTAGCTGTGCTATATCTTTAAATATAAATTTTCTTGCTATAATCTCTGGATCAACAAAGAAAAGCATTTAGAAAAGAAGCCCTCCTTAGTTAATCCAAAGGAATTTTGTTTTGAACAGGGTTCACACCAGAAAAAACTATTGAAATTCCAGGATTACCCAGGACAATTTTTTTCTTTTACCAGGATATTTGCTTCATTATTTCTAGGACGTACAATATAAAAAAGTTTTATAGACTTTTTTATAGATAGCCCAAAGATAACACAAAATACGCACCTAAATGTAAATTAATTTAGAAATCAAATGTAGAATAAAGAAATATATTACAGCTAGTTCAATATAGCTACAAGCACTGAATAACTAAATGTAAATTCAAATAAAATTTAACAAGGAACTATTTTTTATTTGAAAGGAAACTTTTAATGCAACTAATTTCAAAAACATCTTAATCATTTCAAATACTCATAATATAAATACGGTTTTAGCAAAACAACAAAACAAAAACAAAAAAATCTATAACTACAAAAATATGCTCTATAACTACATAATTAACTCAAAATGTATAACTCATATAACTATAACTCAAAAATATACTCTATAACTACAAAAATATACTTTTAAGATTTAGCAGTGAATTTATAATTTTCATGAATCATCTTTTTTTCTTGTAAATCATCTTTTGATTGTACAAATCCTTGATTTCCTTTTGTTACAGCGTAATAAGATGTATTAGATAGGAAAGTGAGCAACTCGTTTTTTAAAAAGTAAGATAATCCGAATGTTTCAACATAACTGGCATTGGTGGGTCCACATTGAAACAATTTTGCAATGATTATCTGGAAACATTTTACAAAATAATTTACCAGAATCAGCTGAAGAATTCATTAAATATTTAGAATAAACAATATTAAGAAGCCAACAAACTTCAGCTTCTAGCGTATATGTATTTATTAGCATTTTATAATTTTTTTTTTTTTGATGTTCTGCTTTATTTGAGCATTTTGACATAAACTCATTAACTAAAACAGTGTTAGTAGCAGTTGGCATTAATGGCTTGATATTGTTTGCAGAAGGAGATCTCTCTATGTGCTTTTTACCTTCCATGTGCGAAGTTAAAGCAGCTTTTTCTATGATAGCAATATTTATATCTTTAGTACAATAACTGAAAATCATAACAGTTTCCGTCTTTTCTGTCAACAAGCCATTTTAATTGAAAAATACATGTATTTTTAGGCATTTTCTAATTATTTTATCCAAAAACAAAACCAAAAAACATGAACAATTAAGGAGTCAAAAAGAATTTAGAATCTCTAATATTTCATACTTTAAAAAATTATTCAAAACTATACAACAATGCAATAACTAAATGCTAATCAAAACTATATACATAAACTACCTATATTTTTGATTTATAGAAACCTCTGTGATGATATCTTTTAAAAAATATTTTAAAAACAACTTTACCTTATCTAATATTGTATCTAATATTCAAAAATACCTAAACACGAAAAGTCTTACCAATGCTTGTAACTGAAATTTGAAAAAATTTGAAATTTGAAATTATAATATTGTTTGAAATATGTAAAGCAACAACTGCGTAATATATATAATCAATATATATACAACAAATCATATATATATATATATATATATATATATATATATATATATATATATATATATATATATATATATATTTTATATATATATATATATATATATATATATATATATATATATATATATATATATATATATATATATATATATATATATATATAGATATATATATATATATATATATATATATATATATATATATATATATATATATATATATATATATATATATATATATATATATATATATATATAATCCAATAACAAGTGCACATAACATTACACTTAAATTATTACATATAATATTACAAAACGATAAAAAATAGTAAATAATTAGAAGTACCTTAACTTTAACTACGTGCGCCACGAGGTTTCAAAACTTTAATGTTGTTTGAAATAACATGAAAGTAACGCATGCGTATAACATTCCAAAAAACAGTTCTAGGTCTGCGATTTCTTCAAAATCGGAAATGTTAGAATGAACGACATTAAATAGCACTAACCTGAAGAAACCGCTTCTGCGTCCATATGATAAACAAAGGAGACTAAAATGGTGTCGTGAAAGAAAGTATTGGACAATAGATCAATGGGAAAACATTATGTGGAGTGATGAGAGTAACTTTGAGCTTATCAATCGCAAATCTAACATAACAGTCAAAAGAATCGCTCACGAAAAGTATTACGCCAGGTACATTAGACCAACTGTACAAAGTGGAGGAGGCTCGATAGAAATCTGGTGCATGCAACAACAAAGGTGTTGGTATGTGCCAAACATACACCGGAAAAATCAACTCCAGAATATACGTAGAAGTACTGGAAAACAACCTAATTCCATCAATTGACTTGCTTATGCTCAATTATAAACCATGGAAACTTCAACAAGATAGCGCTACTGCACATACTGCATACTATACAAAGGAGTGGTTCAACGATAATAATATTATGACTATACCGTGGCCTCCATTTTCACCTGATTTGAACCCGATTGAAAACATTTGGGCTTGGATTGATCGTGAATTAACAAAGGTTCAAATTTCCGCACTTGGTCAGCTGAAGGAATTCCTTAAGGAGACCTGGTTTGGGGTCCTTGAAGCGATGTGCAAAAATCTTGTTGAGTCTATGCCTAGAAGAGTTCTTAGTTGTATTAAAGCAAAAGGCGGATACACAAAATATTGATTGGTTCATAAATTACGCCTTCTAATGTATCGTGCGTCTAAATTTATAAATAATTTTTTTAATACCATGTAGTTGTACCTAATTATTACTTAGTATTTCATTTTTTTTGTAAACTTTTTTTAAACTTAAATTTTGTATTCTGTATGTATTTATCTGATAAATAGAAAAAAAAAAACTAAACCGAAATCTTTTTTTGTCATTGTTTTATCGTTAAAAAACTAAAAATTTCTATTCTCAAATATGAGTGCGTCTAAATTTATGAAAACCACTGTATATATGCTTAGAGAAATGCAATGACAGAAGCCGAAAATAATAAAAGCAAATTACCGGATTTCCCTGAAATGAGCAAGATTGGTTCAGAAAGATTGGTTCAGAAAGAAAGCATTAGATGATTCAGAAAGAAAAGTAAAAGTCTAATATAAATTATTTTAAATATTTGCAACTTATTATATTTAAACGCAATTTGTTATTATATTTTTTCATTTAAGGAGTGGAATAAAAAAGATCAATTGATGCGTGAAGAAGAAGATTGTGGATTAGTTGAAGTGCTTGCTTTTCCATCTTGCACAAGGTCATTTAAGAAAGGAAGTGAATACCGCTATCATATTAAGAATTGTGTTGAAAGCAAATGCGACAAATGTGATACAGTTTTTGTCAATAAAATTCAGCTTAAAAAGCATTATCTAACACATACAGGATCAGTTTGTTGCGATGTGTGCCTAAAGATTTTTTCTGGACAGCAAACTCTTAAAAGACATCATTACATGACAATCTTAAGTTTGAATGCAGTGATTGTAAGAAACATTTTTCGTCAAAAGGAAACATGTCAAGACACAATAAATTGCATAAAATTTAAACAAGTTATTTTTTTTATTGTAATTTTGTACATCCAACACCGTAGAAAGTATGCACCCTTGATCCTAAATTCCAGGGGCAAAAATTAAACAAAATAAAAAATTAAACTCAAAATTATAAAACTAATTTAGAGTTATCTTTATTTATAGTTCTAATAAACTTTAATAAAGTCTATATGTTTTTATATTCAGATAATAATAAAAAATAATAATAGTTGTCCAATTATTATTATTTTAGGGGTTTGTTATTAACTTAAAGCTCCCTGGATTTCAGGATCAAGGGTGCACACTCTCCCCAACACACATAGTGATTGCAATTTTACTGAAAAAAATCAAGTTAATTTGACTAAATGGCTGAATCACTCTTCACTTTTAGTTAGCATTGTTGAAGATAATAACTTTGTTTTTGATCCCATCGTTCTACCAGCTTTTTTAGAAACAGTAGCATTGTCTTTAACGCACTGGGAAAAAGAATGTGCTCTTTTAGTACTGACGTCAGATACATTAAAAGGGTTATTGCGTTTTGCCATTCCTTTTTGAACAAACCTCTTGCTCCCATTTTTAACTTTACGCTGTTTAACTGCCTCAGGTTGAACTTTTATTTTTACTCCAATTCTTTTTTTACGAAGAGTAGTATTGGTTATGCGTTTAGACTGATAAGAATCAATACCAAAACAATGCAATGATGAAGTTAAATTGAAAATTCTGTTTTCATTCATTTTCAAGCGAGTACAAAATTTTGAAACTCCTTTCAAAAAATCAGCATTTTTATAATGTTTATCCACTAACGCCTCCGCCAACTCTTGCTGAATATTTTCAGTATGAGAGGTTTGAACAGTACTTGGACTTATGCCGTTAAAACAGCCTCCCTTTAAATTATTTTAACAAAAGTTTATGAATATATTTAAAAAAAAAGATCAAAAGCGGCAAACATTATAAATTGTTAGATTGAAATAAGTGTGGACTATTTTTACCTTGATTATTTACACTTTCAGAACGATCAATTTTAAAATCAGTTTCCTCATAATTACTAATATCTTCACAACTCGAAGGTGTGCTACAACAAAATATTATGAACGTTAATAATTGGGATAAAACTTTAATAAACATTACGAATTCTATTCAAAGATTTAGGTTCCTAAACAAATGTTTTAACTGTTGGTTAAAAGCGTTTAAAAAACACCGATTGTAAACATTACCTGAAGTTATCTTTATAGATAAACTCATCATGCTTGCCTCTAACATAATCATGTAACCCTTCGTAGAGAAAGTCAGGTAGAATTGCTCCAATAGCAATGTATGAACACAGCTGTCACTTTTTACAGCTTAGATATGGAAGAAAATTTGTACTATATAAATGTTTTTTTCAAACAATGTACTGATGTTTACAAGGTGAACCGTCACTCCCTACAGAACAATCACATATACCTATACTCATATCTACATTATAATGTACACAAGATAAATTGAAACTAGGCACAGTGTACAATTGTAGTCCAACTTTGGATATTTGTTTTTCAACATTTTAAAGGACTTCTTGAGAAGGTAGAGCGAATCCAACTACTTTCTTTCCTTTGTCTCTACCTAAATTAAAAATATATGAAATTGTTTTCATTATATGATTACATAATATGTTTCTTTTCATTAATATGAAATTATTCTACCCATAAATCGATTGCTGTAAATACCATCGATTCGCCCATTTGCAACGCTCAGTTTGGCTTTATAATGTTCATTAAAATCTTGGGTAAGTTTTTCCACAAGTCCATTGACATTAACCTAACAATTAAATATAACTTAAATATAAAAAAAACAATCATCAATGAGAGCACAGTAAAAGTATTTTTAAATATTTGGCATATAATCAGCGGGCATTTGTAAGTATGTATACGGGCAGGGGTTAGCTAAAATCATTGAAATGGGAAGAGTGTGCAGTGGTTTTAAAGCGTACATACTTTTTGAATGCTACCCAAACCTAAATACTTGAATAAATAGTATTTTAAAAAAACATTTCCATTACCTTTTTTTGTTCTGTTTAGTATGTTATCCTTCAATTACAAGAAATTGAGCTTCAACACAATTGTTAGTATTACTACCCCTGATTGTAATGTTTTTTCGAAAGCGTCGAGTTTTATAAGTTTATTTAGTTATGTAAATTAAGTGTGTAGTTTGTTATGAATTACTGTCATTGAAACTTTATTTTGGTTAGTAAAGTGTCATAGAAGAGTATTTATATATTACAATAAAAAAAACACTTTAAAAAAAAATTACCATACCCTCTGGTAATGGCCAAAAAAAAACCGGCCAAAATTTTTTTGCAAATTTACATATTATGGGTTTTAAAAGCATTTCACAGATATTTAAATCAATATCTCAACTTTATGCATATTACTTGTTTATTTAAAAGTCTTATATCTCATTTCTTATATTAAAAAAGAGTTTCATGTTGAGTCTAAGTTAACTTTTTTTTTCTTTTTTCAACAATTTCTTATTTAGGCTCTTATTTCTCATAGTTGTGTTTAAAAAACTCCTAAGTTATTTGATTATTTTGTACATAGACAGGGTTAACCTTACCCTAACTGTGTATATATTAAAAAAATCTGAGATGAACTTATTAATGATTAATTATGATAATTTATTACATTTTAGACTAGATAAATATATAATATATAAAAATGGTATTAAATGACATTAGTTAAGGAAAAGGTATAAGGAGACAGGAATCCTGAGCTTCATCTCAACTCATCGAGCATTTTGACAATTGTTCACCACACCATCTCAGATCTTCCTGAAATTTTTAGGGCTTGTAGTACATACAAAGTTAAGCAATTGCTGAAAATTTTAGGCGATTTTGTCAAAAACTTTCTGAGATATGATTTTTGAAAGTTTTAAGGGTTGTCGCGAGTTCATGTGACTTTTACATTTTCGAATATTTGAACGTGAATATTTCAAAAACTAAAACAGATATCAGGCTGAAATTTTCAGGATTTACTTATTTTTTCATGCTGAGTGTTTTTATTCCAAATGTAGCTTGTATACAATATCCCCTAAAAATGTCTAAACATTGCACTTTGGACAGTTTTCACCAATATTTGACCCAATATAGCTAAGAACCCATAAAACATGTAATGATGTTTGTCATACCATTAATAAGTACCTTATATATGTTTATTATTTTCATAGAAAATTCATGTTAATCAATAATAGTGTACTCATTGCAGGCACTGTTATGCATCACGGTCATTAATTTTTGTGTCTTTAGCCTTTCCTACTAAATCAATTGCTAATTAAAACCATACTTCGTTAAGTTTTTTTTTTAAATACTTTTTGTACATTAAAGTGTATTGTAGTAAGTCATCAAAGCAATGAACTGTCAATTAAATTTTATGAAAAAATAGTTTGTTTAAGTTACAAACTCAAATTACAGACTGTTTTTATCAACAATACAAGCAATCATGTAAAGCGATATAAG